AGTTAACCTGGCTTCAGTGTTAGACCACACATCCCCTAATTTTTGGTCATCATAAATTGAACTTAATAGACAAAAAGAGATAATAAGAAGAGTTGAGAAAGAGGGTAAATATGACCAAGGATTGATATTCTCAAATAACTAATACAAATAAAATAAAATATAAGAATCTAGAGGGCATATATTGGTGTGGAAAGTTCTTTTGCATATGTGTTGCTCTTATTGGTTAATGAATAAAGGTGTTTCACCCAGTAGCCTAACAGAATAGAGCAAGGTGGGAATTCCAAGCTGATAGAGGAGGAAAGAATTCAGAGTCAGATAGAAGTCATGTAGCCACAGCAGGAGACAGATACCTGATGCTAGCCGGAACCTTGTCAGTAAACCATGGGTCTCATGATAAAATGTAGAATAATAGAAAAGAGTAAATTTAAGATGTAAGACCTAGTTAGAAATATGCTAAGCTATTGACCAAACAGTTGCATTTAATATAGTTTCTGTGTAATTATTTAAGGTCTGGGCAGCCGGGAAGCAAACAAGCAGCCTCTAAATACAATATATTGTATGACTACATGTTTTGTATTTTCTCATATGAAATTCTAAGAATAAATATAGAATGTGCTATAAATGGTATACATTGAGGCAAGGAGGAACCTTCCAGAATACCTTGGGTTCTGTTACTATCTGTACTACAACATGCCTTATGGTTTAGCTATATGTTCCTATGGCTTCAGTGTATAAAATCCAAGATAGTCAGTCCTTCATTTCCATGAACAACTGTGCAGGGTGGTGGGGGAAGTGCTGATGCAATTCCATTGCCAATCTGCATCACTTCTTAACCTTGGCAGACTGCAATAAAATGAAACCTCAATTTTTGCCTCATAATTATTTGAATTTGCCTTCTATTTCATGTGATTGTGTGACAGTGTTTCAAGTCTGTATCTTTATGCCACTGGCAGAAAATAGGCAAGACACTATGTACAGGTCCTGTGTTCTGTTTGTTAACATGATATTCATACCAGTGCTCAGCTAATATGCTTTGGAATTTATAAATCTTTAGCACCCCTGAACCAAACAATAATTCTCCAAAAAGAAAACATGAAGTCAAGGCCATTCCTTCACACATTGTGTTTGTTTACTATATTCCCTTCTGCTTGCTTCCTTAACACGTTAGACCCCATAACCCCATCAGGATGAATAGAGTTAGAATTAGCAACTCACTGCTTTTTGGAAGGAAGTAAAATACTCTTTCTGATCACTTACGGGGGTCTCACGTGAAGAAATTATGGATGGAGATTCCCTAAAAATTTCATTCTGCCTCTAAATAACTTCTGATTTTGCAGAGATTGAGAACCAAAGATATACGATGAGGCTAAGATTACAGAGCTGCGAAGCCAGGACAAGGATGACTGGATAATTATTAGAATACAAGTGTCTCAAAAGTGACTGCCAGCTTGGGGGATGACTTATTAAAGCTGCACCCCTGGAGCTATTACTGAAGGCTTGGTTCATTGGAGGGTCTCTTCTCAGCTATTTCTATTTCTCATAGAATTTTGGGGTGGAGGGCCCTTGTCAATTATGTATGTCTCAGGGTCTTTCTGAGTCGTGTGAGATTTTGTTTACTTTCTGAGTCTTAATGAGTTCTCATCCAACATGCAATATGTAAATTTAGTGGAGCTAAAATTTCAACAGAATAGTAATAGAAATTCGTGACAAAGAGGAGATGCCATGCCTCCATTACATCTTAGACAATGTTTCTTAATTGAGGAGAAGTCCACATTGAAATATTAAAGAAATATATAAAGGCTTCTGGTGAGAGAAGACAAACAGCATTTGATGTACACAGAACAGTATATGATAAAGGCCAGAGAAAAATGTAGAGCTAAATAAAAATCATTAAAAATAGTGGGCTTCTTGAATGAGAACAGCTGGAGTGATAGAAAGTCAAGATAGGATAATTGGTGTGAATATGATTTAAATATACAGACATATAAGAAGCTGTCATGAGACATAATATGTTGTATACCATTCTGACATCCTGGAAATATATACTAATAAAAATAGTGAACTTCTTGTTGATATGAAATTGTGAAATACTCATCATGTTTACAGCTTCAATTAGGTTTAGAATTTGCAGATACTCAGGTGGTAAAGAAAGGCCAGAGTGAAATGAAAAAGAGACCCCTGGACTAAGCAATAGATCTGATTTCTGTTGAGTGGGTAGTGAGGGCTGTAACATTTTTAACTAAAGGAATGTCACTTTGAGAATCATATTGGAATAATGAAGGATGGTTCCAGAGTAGGAGATGTTTGTCCTCAGATTCCAGCTGTTATTTCACGTGTATTTATCAGACTGTACTGGAGAAATGGGTGTGGTCTCCACAGAAGACAACCTAGGATCTTTCTCTGAGAACTAATGGGGTGAAGAAGATCTTTCATCTCATCTTAACGTTTCCTGACTTCTATGTACACACAGGGATCTGTGTAAAATTCCTTGGGAATCTGGGAAATGGGAGTGGTCAATTGTTGTTTAAGACCATTTACTCAAATTCTAAGTATTCCACTTCATGCACTTCTTGTGTTTCAGGCTCCTAAAAAGAGGTAAATGTTAAGTGATGCTGTATGCACACAGAGAATGAAGGAGTGGTAGACTGCACTGAAGAGAAGACTCAGGAGGACCTACCTGTCTATTCAGTATTGTTCTCACTTCAGACTCTTGATCCAAGTTTGCTTCATTTTCAGAGGGCAGAAGTAATCAAACACACATAATAAAATACTTTTGCACTATAATTTCAAATTCATAGTTACTGCTGTCTGGGGTTCAGCCTCCAGCAGCATAGGGATTTGTTAGGAATCCATGGAGCTTTTGAGGCTAGACTTTTCATTCTGTGGTGGGTTAGGGATGAAGGCACTCACAAACTCTCTTGATTTATTCTCCTTCTTTATTCTGTCTCTCTTTATTCTCCCTCTTATTTTTATTCTCTCTCTCTACTCTCATGTTGTTTTATAGTTTTTATATTCCAACAGATTCTTCCAGGAAGTACAAGAGTCAAAAGAGTTTCATTCCATTTATCAACTAAATGGATATAGGTAAAAACATGTCCCTCATATGATTAAGCATTTTATGTATTGCAGGTGAAAAAAGTTATCCCGAGAACCCACATACACTCATATCCAAGTAACTGGTTATAGATTAATGATATGAGCAAGCAAAGTGTTTTTGTCAGGTATACTGGCAGGATGCATTTTTCAGTTACAAATCAAGGATCAATTACTCTATTACTTTTCTTGAAAAAGTCATATAAGGAATCTTAAAGGAATCACAAACCTCAACTTTTATTTTTGAAAAGAATCAGTCAGTTCTACTTAAAATTTTTAGGGAACACAACCATTTATTAATAGTTTTTTATATCAGGAGATTGAGGGCAGAATTGAATACAAGGAATTAACCATTACCTTTGCTCCTCAACCAAACCTAGCAAAAGGAGCACTTCATCCAGTAATAATTGGGATGTTTTGTTTTTGTTCTCTGAACTTAAAGAGTTTTTCATTCAGCTATGTACCTTTCTAAAACTTTAGATGATCTTCTGGGGTTTTTCCACCTCAACATTATTTAACAAACACTTCTGAGTCTAACTAAGTTTCATTTCTACTGTGAAGCACTCTGAGATCTTTGAACACATCTCCCAACATTAAGATTAAAAGAATTTAAACTAGCTGGGCTACTGGGACTCAACTGTTAGTCATTAAGTTGAGCTACAATCCATGCAGCTCCTTTAGGTGAAACTCACAGACCCTGGCTGTGAAGCATATCCTTGTATTTATTTTTATTCATCAAAACTCTGTATAAGTTATCATTATTATTATCAAATTATACAGTACAGCTTAGGGAGGGATGATCTTGACAATTTGTAGGTAAAAATGCCCAGTAAAATGGGATGTTTGCAAGAGATAAAGACACTATAGTACAGGCAGTGGAGATCTCCCCACATCCACTCACACCATGCTAGATACCAGAGAAACAACCACAGAAACATGTAAAGGCCCAGCAGAAGCAAAAGACATTCTGGGGTCCATAGTCTGATGGCCTTGCCTAAATGAGATTGGCTAATCAGAAGTTTCCCTTCTGGTGGGCTGACACCTGGAACTTCAATTGTAACTTGCAGCTCTTCTAGCAAAGACAATGGCACAATGTACTAATGAGAGATATGGCAAAATCAAAGGTTGCTCACTTATGGCAATTTGGAATCAGATGTTCTGATTTTCTATCTCCACAGTTCCATCCTACTCATGCTGAACCTAGTAATTATGTTTTTAGCATAGTCTCTCTCTCTCTCTCTCTCTCTCTCTCTCTCTCTCTCTCTCTCTCTCTCAAAATCTCCTAGATATTAGTGTTTGCTTTGGGTGTCAAGATGCAGAAGATGCAGTGAGTAATTAGTCAGTAGTCTGAGAACTGAGAGGAAGATGAAGGACTCTAGTTCCTCTCTCCAAAGTCCTTCTCACAAGGACATGCACTCAACTATGTTCACAGCAGAACTGATTTAATAGGCAAAACCTGGAAACAACCTAAATGCCCCTAGATGAAGAATGGATAAGAAGGTGGTAAATTTACACAATGGAGTACTAGACATAGGAGAAAAATAGTGACATCTTGAAATTTGCAGGCAAATGGATAGCTCTAGAAAATATCATATTGAGTGAGGTAACCCAGACCCAGAAAGACAAATATCATATGGACTCACTCATAACTGACTTTTAGACATAAAGAAACATAAACCAGCCTACAATTCACAATTCCAGAGAACCTATAAAACAATTAGGACCCTAAGAGAGACATACATGAATCTAATCTACATGGGAAGTATTAAAAGACAAGACCTCCTGAGTAAATTGGGAATATGGGGACCATGAGAGAGGGTTGAAGGGGAGGGGAGAGGCAGGGAGGGGAGCAGAGAAACATGTATAGCTCAATAAAATCAATAAAAATATAATGAAATTCCTGAAAGTCTTTCCTTAGTTTCCCTGTATTGGCCCAAGTATTCATCTGTAAATGTAGGGCACACACCTGTATTTCTCTGGTTTTGTTTTCTCACACTACTCAGATGACACTCACTGGCTTGTTTTCGGGACTTACTGTTTTGGGCAGAACAACAAGCATAAAGGAGGATGACAGAGAAGAAAAGGATCATGGTCACTGATAGCCCAATCAACATATGCATCATCCTGTGGTTATCTGAAAGGAGACATGAACCCATAAGAGGTAAATTATAGGATCCCCATTTTTATAGATTGCATAATATTGATTGAAGATAATTATTACAATATTTCTTTGTGACAAGAGTCATGATGGAGAACCTACTAGTAATATTCTGCTCAAAATTTAACTGACTCCTAAAGACTTATTGTTATACATAATGCATTTCTTAACTCTCAACAGTGGATTCTATATTTGTGAAAGATGGCGATTAATTCAGATACCCACAACTGGGAAAACTGTGGAGAATAAGAGACTATAGAATACTTGGCCCTAAAAGAAATGTTTACATCTCATATACTTCTCCAAATGTTCAGTATCATTATGAAAGAGTTAGAAGAAGTGATTGCAAAAAGAAGCTCTGAATGATTATAAGGAAACTGTCTTCTGAACAGTGAGGTTAGCATAATATGGGAACTTCACAAGAGAGCAAGATAACATGTCCAAGAGCAGTGCAAGGTCACGGTAGACAAAATCCTAGCGTGGAGAAGGGAGATGGACATGAAGTCCCACCCCTAGTCAAGGGGCTAGGGACAATTGATAACTGTTGGCAGAAGGAGTGTCAGTTATAGCAGTGTTGTTGCTAGTAAGTTGACCATGCACTAGCAGAAGTCCACACATCCAAGAATATATTGACATATGCCTGTGGCAGAAAACTGCAGGACACTGTATAAAGGTCATGTGCTCATTATCTTAATCTGAGATTGATACCAGTGCTCCCTTAATCTGACTAACAACTTCTACATCTTCAACACCCTTGAACCAAACTACTAATTCTTCCAAAGGGCTAAAGTAAAGTCTATTGTAGTCTGTCACAGGTAATATTTTTATAAAATTATCCTTTCTTCTTGCTTGTTTCCTTTTTCAGGCTCTATGATCTTCTCTTCAGGAAAAACTGAGCTAGAAATAGCACTTCATTGTTCCTAGAAGGGGACTAAATCTGCTCTCCCTTTTATGTGTAGGAGATCTCGGGTACAGTTCCCATGCTGGTCCTAAAACCTTCTGGAGTTTCAGAGTTTAAGAATAAGAGAGAGGAGATGATGATGTTAAGACTACTAAGATGTGAAGAAGGCAAGTCAAAATATGAGCCCAAGAGCATTTGATCCCTAAGTTTCCACAATAGAGAAGGGGAAAAATTACTCACTATTTTTGGAGTCTGGATCGGTGCATGAAGTGAAATTTCTTGATGAGTTTACTAGGAAAGGGGAGAGGAGAGGGTAAAAGTTCCTCAAAAGACTATGTGCCTTCCCCATATGCAAAGTACTTTAAATTAGGATGGTAAGCAGTACCCACTCCACCTCTTAGTGCTGAGCCTTTAGAATCATAGGATGTCATTATGTGATTTGCTTTTAGGTGTTGATTTCAAGTTGTGATGAGTCAATAAGAATATTGTGGAGAGATCTATGTGAGGGAGAGATCAGGAGACTGTTCCATCTGTTATCTGTCCAAACTGATTGCAATCTTATCCTTAATGAGTCTGTCCTGACATTTTTCTTATTCTCTATGGATACATACACATTCCAGTGTGGCTGACCAATCAAGATAAGGATTCTTTGAGAGGCTCCTTATTTATTACTTTGTAATTTGATATTCTTTATTAAACTCTATATCTTTTTATAAAAGTTCTTAAATAAAATATAATTGTATCTCTTTCCTTATTCTTCTCATCTTTTCAGGGCATCTCAGGTATCCTTTCTCCAGGCTTTTCCATACACCCCCTTACATTGATAGCCTCTTTGTCTTTGATTAATATTGTTTTATTTTGTAACACACACATATATACATATTATGCATATGTATATGTTACTGAGTCTCTCTATCATCAGTAAGATGGTTCTCAGACATGGCTTCTTTATGATCTCCTTAGTCACTAGATATGAGATACATATAAGACGACTTTCTTACCTGAGACAGAAAGGTACAATGGGTCACTTGGGGATGACCACACGTGGGAAGAGTTCCTGAAAGAGCCATAGCATCTATAGGTCTCTGCCTGGATCAGAGGAACAGGAAGGAAGTTTGCCTGGAATGTCCCACTGTGGCTCTTCTCTGCAGGCAACCCATGTCCCTGAGGCACCCCTTTCATGGACAGATGGAACAAGTCAAACTGATGGTCAGAGATGCAGGACAAGATCATGTTCTCTCCTGATGTCACAACAGTTCCCATCAGAGCAGACAGAGAAGGTTTCTTGTATAAACCTGGAAGAAAGGAGGTAGAGACAGTGGAGGAGCAGGTCCTTACCAGTGTTCAGTCACTCCTCAGTGTTCTCTCTCCCTGCTTCCATTTCTATGATCTCTCTCTACCCACATTTATCTCTGTCTTTTCTACCTCCCTTTGTCTTCCCATCTCCTTTTCTTTTAAATTACCTTACTGAGTCTCTGACTTCAATCCTATACCCATATATTTTATTTCAGTTCTCACTTTTAGACAGTTGCTGACTCTATATGCATTCGTTCATACCATTTTTCTTTTTGTTTGTTTTTATAAACAGATATTTAATTTATGTAGCAATGGGATTCATCATGAAACATTCAACTATATAATGCATTTTATAATTGTTTTCTTTAAAAATTTGAAGTTAAACTATAATTACATCATTTTGTACTTCTTTTTCTTTAAGTGTTGTTACATATGTAATCTTGATCATATTTATTCTTCTCCACCAATTTTTATTCCTTTCCTTTTCCCAATTGTTCTTTACACTTTCAGTTTTTTTTCCAAATATTTTGTCAGTCAATGGGTTAATTAGAGGTACTTATTATTTTGTTTTAATTAAGATATAAAGCAACAAACTCTATTAAGGCATTCTCAAACAGTTCATTTTGTACATTTTCTTCACAATCACTTCCCTTATACCACGTTTACTGGTCCTTCCCCCTCACTTCCCCTTCCATGTCATATGTATTTCTTCTCTTTTCCATCCCACTTTGTTAATATCCTTTCCCTTCTCATGTTCCCAATTTCATGACTTATAACTTCTTTTTTTCTTTTTCCAGTTTTTTTTATTATTATTTTTATTAAAAAATTTCTGACCTCCTCCCCTTCTCCCATTTCCCTCTACTTCCCTCCATTCCCTCTCGCCCTCCCTCTCCAGTTCAAACAGCAGTCATGGTTCCTTGCCCTGTGGGAAGTCCAAGGTCCTCCCCCCTCCATCCAGTTCTAGGAAGGTGAGCATCCAAACAGACTAGGTTCTCATAAAGCAAGTACATGCAGTAGAATCAAAACCCAGTGCCATTGTCCTTAGCTTCTCAGTCAGCCCTCCTTGTCAGTCATGTTCAGAGAGTCCGATTTGATCACATATGGGAAGTATAGATCTTAATTAAGGGGGGCATTTTAGGGTTGGCAAGAGACTGGACTCTAGAGGGGTTCTCAGGTGTCCAAGGAGATGTCCCCAGCTTGTTCCTTGAGCAGCTGAGGAGAGGGCACCTGAACTGGCCCTATCCTATAACCACACTGATCAATATCTTGCATATCACCATAGAACCCTTATCTGGTGATGGATGGAGATAGAGACAGAGACCCACATTGGAGCACTGGACTGAGCTCCCAAGATCCTTATGAGGACCATAAGGAAAGAGACCATGAGCAAGGAAGTCAGGACCTCGAGAGGTTCACCCACTCACTGTGATGGTGGGGCTGATCTAATGGGAACTCACCAAGGCCAGCTGGACTGGGACTTATAACTTCTTAATCCCATGTATATTAAAAATGTAGACTCTGACTTCATTCTAAATAATTATTATTATATCTTGTCCTCCTCATATCTGTGTTAATGAATCTCTCTTTTCAAAGGATAGAATATTTCACGAATGTGTTTGTTTCCTTGAACAGGGGACATGATGATCTTTCTTTCTGTGTTTCTCCTAGTGTGTTTACTGTTCAATTGCAATCTACCATCTGCCCCCAATCTATGCTTTGAAATATCCAATATTTGCTATTACTTCTCTATTTCTCAAATCTTCCATTCAAGCTTAAGACTTTTTGCAGATTTTCTCTTCCCACACACTCCTAGCTTACTATTTCCTCAGTATTTGAATCTTTCTCTCAGTCTCTCTGTTTGTATATATTTCCATGTCTCTGAATTTTTTGCATATTTGTATCCCAGGGGGAAACACTATACCATTTTCACCCATCCTAGAATGTGTGAATGAGTCTGGAACATGGGCTGACAGCATTTTGGAAATGTAGAGAACAGACAAAGACTGATGGTCTACTCAATTATCTAGGGTTATGCTATTCTTTGATGAATAGTTAGTCAAATAAAAGAATGGAAGAACTGTCAAACTAGACAGAAATTCTATGGGTGCCATCTGTACCAAGATCTCAGGACTTATGAAGAAGCAACCCCAGTCAGCACATGAACACAGGTCAGACATATATGTCTAGGTCTTCTTACAGGTGTCTTTTAGAGGAAAAAGTCAAACAAAATTCCGAACTTCTAGGCCTGTGAACATTAGTAGAAGGATGTCCTTGTTTCTGAGACATATCAGTCTCACCAAGCTGCCCCTTTCTCTTTATTTCTAGGTACGATTCCTTTGACATCCCTGTATCTGTGCTTTATGCTATAACCAATGGCTTATTCTTGTATCTCTGTTTTCATCATCTATGTCAGCAATATAATTTCCAAGTCTGCCCTTTTCTAAGTTTCTCACATTCACCTTCTAGGACATACTGTCTATAGAATAACTGTTCTGCATCACAGAGAGGCTGGTGACCAGGTAGCACCCTCTTACCTGTGATCTTTACGTCAACAGGATCACTGGATTCAGACCACTCATATGGTGTTTGGTGGTAAGAACCATAACATGTGTATGTCCCAGCATGGTCAGGTGTCACAGGACCTATTGGGAAGTTGGCATGGGACACTCCCATATGAATTTCTGCAGAAAGCTGGTGAGAGTTCTTGTTTATTCCCATTCTATGTGAAGTCAAAGTGAAAGTGTCAAATGTAATCTCTGAAAGGCACTTCAATGTCACCTTCTCTCCTAATTTTACCAAGAGAGTTGGTAGGGCCAGGAGGAAAGGTTTTCTGTAGATTCCTAGGAAGAAAGAGATTGTGAGCATGAACCTGATATGAATCGATGTATCCCAGAAATCCTATGCTATTTTCCCTCTAATCTGTTCTTTTTATCAGTATCCCAGTGTCCTTTCCATTTTTTTTGTCAGTTTATACACAGATTCCTCCATCTTATCATGACCATTTCCCACTTATTTGACCCTGGTTACAGCACAACATTTTCCACTTGCATGTTTAGCATATCCCTTTATAATGCTGAGAGTCTGACTAGAACTTGTTTGAAAAATTCTAGTGTGAGGAGGTTTGGCAGAATGAAAAGACACAGCAAATATGATCTCTCACCTGAAATTATGATCTTCAGAGGCTCACTGGGTGATGAGAGCTCATTATGGTGTTGACCTGTATAACTATAGCATCTGTAGGTTCCTCCAAATGCTTGGGTCACAGGTCCCAAAAGAAGACTCCTCTGGAGCATTTTTTTATAAACCTGAAGTTTAGGATTCCCATGCTCTTTGTACAGCATGACTATGTTAAACTTATTGTTAGTGTCACAAGTGAGGGTCACATTCTGTCCCCGAGGAACAATATGGCTTGGCCAGGCCGACAGTGAAGGTTTGGCATTAATTCCTGTAGAAAGATACACAGGGTAAAATATTTAGTGATTAACCTTTATTCTTGAGATCTGAGTTTCTGAATTTTATTTCTTCAGGGTCCATTCTTTGACCCTTTTCTCTGTATGGAACCATCTCTGTTTCAATGTTAGAGCTTTAAAGGCTCAAGGAACTCAAGAGGTAAACAAACATTAATGTACTGGAGAGCTGAAACTTGCAAGATTCACCAGTGACCCTTCCCACTCTATAGAAACTGTAAGTTACTTTTCCTGCTGAATTCTAAAAGGATATATCCAAGACCAATTCAGCTGCCAGCAAGTTGTATGGGGAGCTCTATGGTTTTGGCTTTCATGAAAACCACCCATAGTGAGGTGCGCTTTCAGTAATGCTTTGGAGTCATCCCTTGTTTCTGCAAATAAACCCATATCCATACTGCTATTAGTAATCTCAGTAGACCCACTAGTCCAAAGGTTTGGACATTGATGAAATCATTGTTTGGTCTGTCTTGGGTTTCCTTTATGTGGTGACCATAACTGCATGTGCTGTGTCTTCCCAAGGAAATTCTCAAACAAAACAATGTCATTTTCATGTCATGTGTGTCACCCAACTACCATGTACATATGGAATATCTTTCTATGCTAAGATATGTTATTTGAGAATTTTGAGTAAGTATTAAATAATGAAGTAGATTTGGTCATGAAAAATGTAATCTAAGAGGAAATTATATCAGAGGACTTGAGGAAAAATTCATTTGTGAGACAACAGACTGGAACTATGGCCAACAAGTTAAAAAAAAGGAATGCTTTGGACTCACCTTCACTGACTCTAGAAATTTAATAATACTGGATTAGAAATACATTGTGAATGTTCCATATCTCAGCAGTGAGGGAAGTCAGCCCCTAAGACCACAGAACTGAGAAAATTAACAACAAAACAGTAGGGATGAGTCCTTTGTACTACTCTGTCCCTTATGTGCTCTTGTCCAGAACTTCATCTATAGAGGTCACATCAGCTCATGTTTCTACACTGAGTGACAAGTTAGGGGCAGACATATAGTTTCACCACCATTTCAAGGATCCTTGCATGTGGAACATTGAGGAAATATTATTGCTCTGCCTCCTTGGGACACTTGGTGATAAAAAGTATTTGGACTCATGATTGCCAGCCCATGAATCTTGGTCATTCTTCTGTATCCACATGGGAGATGTTTCTGAGGAAAGAGACAGAAGAACATATAGACTCCAGCCTGTGTGGACATTTTGAAACACTGCTCAGCCAGAGGCTTTAAAGTACCCCAGTGCAAAACTGTACCTGATTGTGATAAGTGGCCAGTAATTTACTGCACCAGGAAGCCCAGCTCCCAAAAACATCTGATCTCCAAACAGAGGAGACAAGTTAGTGAAACATGGGAAATTGACCCCAATGCCATCCTGTTTAGGGCTGCAACCAATTTACCCAAATCCATTCTCAGGTTAGAATTAATAGTAAAGGTCTATTAACATACACAGAACATCTGCATGTGACAGAGTTGAGGATTGTCTTCAATATGAAGGCGTCTTTGTGTAAGAACTTGTGCGTGAAAATCAGAGAAGTCCAACATGCCAGAATATAGTGATGCTCTGGTAGTAAATACAGAGGAAATGTAGATCTTTGAAGTCCACAACAGATGATTCACTGCAGTATTTTTAAAACAGTGACAAAATTATAAGATACAATGAATAAAGTTTCAGAGCTAGGTACATGATATAAGAGAGAAAATGCGTCATTTTTATGGTCTGTGTAACCTCACTCAGTAAAATATTTTTTAAGTTCATGTATTTGTCTGAAAATTTCATGGTTTCATTGTTACTTACCAATAAATAGTATTACAGAGTATGCATGTGACACATTTTTATTAGCCGTTCGTCGTTTGAAATACATCTAGATAGTTTCCTTGTCTTAGTTCTTGAGAATAGAACAGCAAGAAACATGACTGGGAAAGTATCCATGTCATAGGGTATCAAGTACTTTGGATGTATTCAAACGGGTAGAAATGATGCAAATAAACTACTCATGTATGAAAGTCTCAAGAAATTATATAAAAGAACAATCTTTTATAAAAGAAAGAGATGGTATCTCACTATAAAAAATTGAACTCTGATAATAGTGTTTTATAAAATTTGGAAGCAAATCATTGAACATCATAAAGAGTTTGGCAACATCCCTCCTAAGCAAAATATGCAACTACTAAATTGGACAAACTTGTTGTTCAGCTTGATGTCTAAGGAGGTAAGGCTGTTGCTGCCATGTCTGACTTCCTGGATTCCTCCACTGGGACCCACGTGGTGAAAAGAGAAAACTGATTCCAGAAGTTTTCCTTGACTTTTACACTTGTGTCACAGCAAATGTGTAGCCAACACACACACATACACACACATGCACACACAAGAAAACATAAACACACAAGCGCACACAAAAACATGAGTGTATGTGTGTGCACATGGATACACTACAAATACATGCAAAAATTTACAAAGTTAATAGACTGTCTCAATAGTACATATGATAAAGTAGAAGAATGAATGTGCTTAGATCAGTCTTTATATAATGATGTGTAAATGCAGAAATGAATGAAAATTCAGTGAAGAAAAATGTCAGGATTTTTTTGAGTGCACCCCAATACCAAATTATCAGTCATGAAAGTTCAAGAAAGAGTAAAAGAACACAGAGCTTTTCTTTGGTGCCTAGTGGATTGGAACTAGGATGATCTTACACAGCATGATGCATATAATTAAAATACATTGTATTAAATTATTAAAGAATCAGTAAAGTATTAACAAAAATACAGGAATAAAAATGCTAATAAAAATAAACAAAAAATGTAGAGAAGAAAGAATAGAAAACTCTTCAACTTGGAATAAAATGAAAATATCAGGTCCAAGAAGGTCAAATGACACAAAAGAAATTGAACCCAAATAATTATGATCACAGAACATATTATTATCGTAAGAGATCCTGAAATCAAAACAATAAGAGAAGTAAAGAACATACAAGGGACTTTCAATTACAGCTAATGGAAGACGTACAGGCTGCAAGAGGCCAGGTTGATGTATTCAATGAAGTGAGTGGAAAAAGAGAAACCCTGCCTAAAAATGTAGTAACACTGTCTTTCAGAAATCAAGACAATGAATTTCTCAGAAAAACAGTAGCAGACAAGATGTCATCATTATAAGCACAGGAAATGCTGTGAAGATCTTCAAGCAGAAAAAAAAGCTGGTAACGAGTGACCTGACATCCTCATGTGGAGAAAGTAAAAGTAACTCACTAAAGCAAGCAAAAATGAGATGTTGCAACAATGTGCTGGTGATACACAAATTCTACCTCTAGCAAAGTTGTTTGATGACAAAAATAACTTCAATGGTTTGTCAAGTGACACACATATTTAAAAAGTAATAAATTATAGCGTCATAATATCAAAAATAAATGGGGATGGTCAGGTGAGAGTGTAGAAAGGGGAAGACTATTTTTTATTTAAAAGTTTTGATTATTCTTCAGGTGTTATGGTCCAGTCTTTTAATATTTTTTTTGATTTTTCAAGCCAGGGTTTGTCTGTAGCTTTCAAGCCTATCCTGGAACTAGCTCTAGTAGATCAGGCTGGCCTCTAACTCACAAAGATCTGCCTGCCTTTTCCTCCCGAGTGCTGGAATTAAAGGTGTGTGCCAACCACTGCCCAGCTGTGTCTACTCTTTTAATCCCAGCACTTTGGAGGCAGAGACAGGTGAATATCTGAGTTCATGGGCAGACTGGTCTTCAAAGTGAGTTCTAAGATAGTAAGAGCTACATAGAGAAACCCTGTCTTAAAAAAACCCAAAAATGTTTGTCTGATCAAAATTGATGCCTAACTGAGCCAGGGCCAGTGTCTGGTACAATCTGGGACAGGACTGAGAGGTGTGTTTTCAAGGTCCTAAGTTCACAGTTCAGAAGACTAGCCAAAGAGTAACTCACAGATTCCACCAGAGAACACACTGTGATGCCTACTGTCCTGTTAGAATGAAACTTCTCTGTTGGCATGGGTAGTAGTATCTCAAGGCTAAGGCTGGACTCACCTGTTTGTGCCAAAATCCTCAGGAGTAGGATGAAGCCTGGAAAGAAAAGGTCATGATGGATGATCTATCTCCTTCCAACATCCTAGTGATCTGATGCCCCTGTTTCTGTTGGGCCTCTGTACAATAGAGTCAGAGCTCACTTCATTATGATGAACTCATGCACCAGTATCAACCATGGAAGCCAGTGTTTCTTCTGTGGAAAGATCCAGCCTCCCATGACGATATTTCCACCCTGTTATTCCACACCCTTCATTCCCAGCAGAACTCACCAATACACTCAAGATTTAGGTGCAGAGACAGCATGGTGCTGCTTCAGTTGACAAGAGGCAAAGCCAGAATAAAACTTACAGGATGTTGTAGGAGGCTCTATGTAGCTACCTGACCACAGCATTGAAAGCTGATTAAGAGAGTACATCTGCCCAAGACTGTTTCTCTGTAGCCATGGCTGTCCAGAGATGCACTTTGGGAGCCTGGTTGACTTTGATTTCAAGGGTCTACCTTCAAGTGCTTTGATTAAAAGTGTGTGCCCTTATTTGAGGGTTCATAATGTTTCTCCTTTTATGATGTTTTATGATTATCCTTCTAAAGGTTTGCATGTTTTGCTTTTTAAATCTGAGACTCAGTGCCTACTTTGGTGTTCTGTGCAACATGTCCAATCAGTATTCATGGTGTAACAGAAATCTTAATGTATCAATCAAAATGATTATTCTGCTAAAATTCCATGTCAGGTTTTAATTATTCAATTTCTTTGCCTATTAGTTGTATATTTATTTACAATAAAAATATTCCACTTATTTTATAAAATCAATGGAAGAAAGAAAATATAGTTTTCTTTCAACTGAAACTTGTTTTAAGAATTAGCATTCATGTTTTTTAAAAAGATATATTTTAAATTATGTGTAAATAGGTGCATGTATTTGCTGGTGCCTTATTTGGCCAGAAGAGGGCACTGATCAGAACCCCTGGAGCTGAAGTCACTGGCAGTTGTGAACTACCTGTTGTGGTAGTGTACTCTGTAAGTGCAGAATACACCCAACTTCTGAGAGATCTCTGCAGCAGTTTGTACTTACCTTTTTTTAAACCAAATATTCCAGAAATATACTTATTATGATGTGTTGTTTCTCTTCATTGTTGAATGGTTGACGTAGACATATCTGAAAATGTTTAAGATGCATAATTGGACAAGTTGTTTTACATTTTTTGACATGTCTAATTTGCAAGACTCTTTTCTGACTACATAGTACTAGTTCTTTATTTCAATCAGACACATTAAATAAATGATAATGGACCTAGATAAGAAACATCAATATTCTTATAATGTCTTTATAGAACTATCTGTGCTGAGGCCAAGAAGCTACAAGACAGTGCAAAGAAATGGGAACTTTTGAAAAGGGACTGACTATTGGCCACACAAAACCCATGAGTGTGGTATGCATTTAATGCATTTATTATCTGCTATGTTTTATTACATTGTTGGAATTTTTCTCCTATACTTTTCTTTTTTTTTCAAATGTAACACACCTTTACACAGTTAAAGTAACATTCCACAACATAAACAAATGTGATACATCTTTATTTTTTTTTGAGACAGAGACCCTCATCAGAGCAATGGACTGAGCCCCCAAGGTCCAGTTAAAGAGCAGTAGGAGGTAGAAGATGAACAAGGAAGTCTGGACCGTGAGGGGTTGGTCCACCCACTGAGACAGTGTGCCTGTTCTAATGGGATCTCACCAAACCCAGCTGGACCGGTACTGAATGAGCATGCAATCAAACCGGACTCTCTCAATGTGGTTGAAAATGGGGGCTGACTGAGAAGCCATTGATAAAGGCACTGGGACTTGTTTCTACTGCATATACTGGCTTTTTGGAACCATAGTCTATTTGGATGCACAGCTTCCTAGGCCTGGATGTAGAGGAGAGGGCCTTGGACTTCCCACAGGGCAGGATTCCCTGCCCTCTCTTAAGGAGGGAGGGAGAGGGAAGGGGAGAGTGGGGGGAGCGGGAAGGGAATGGGAGGAGGGGAGGAAGTGTAAATTTTTGAATGGAAAAATTAAAAAAAATGTCATATACTTTCCTATATTATTAAGGTTAAAATTTTATTAATACACTTTTCAAATAAATGATAATTAAATCATTTATCTTTCTTTTTCTCTTCTCAATCACTAATGAATAGCTATTTTGTTTTCTCAAATACATCTTTATCTTAAATTAACTATATGTGACTCACCAGTTAAGAGCACTGTCTTCTTTTCTAAAGGTCCTGAGTTCAATTCCCAACAACCACATGGGGACTCACAACCATCTTTCATGAGATCTGGTTCCTCTTGAGGAAGAGATCTGGTCAGTTGTCCTCATCTACTTATACCATGAAACCCAATATGGGAATGGACAAGTTCAACAGAACAACCATAGACAGGCTGCCCATACAATTTATTTTTAAAAAATATGTACACATATGGACATATACACATAAATATATAAATGTAACCTGATTAATATGTATGATATATAATATATATTAGGGTTGACTTTACTACATTCCTAGGAGAATCAATCTCATAGCAAACTTCTGTTCCTCAATTTCTTGCAATCATTTTTGTACTCTTTCATGATGTTTTCTGAGCCTTAGGTGCGGGAATTCTGGTATAGATATATATCACTTAAGGCTGGGAACCATACAATAACCTGTTAGCTGTATTTTTATTGGTTTATTCTTATGTAATTGTGTTTGTCTGAGGTATAAGAGCATATGTGCTAGTATTGGACCCCTAGAGTTACTGTGCCATACTGGTTATGAAGACACCAAACAAGGTTTCAAACCTTCATCTTCAAAAATGATGTGGTATCAGCAATAGCTCCCTAATAAGGATTCCCGAAGATAAATGGTCCAATGCATCAACATACTAGCTTTAAAAATAATTACATGTCTATTGGAAAGATGATTCGGTGATTATAAGACCTACCATGTAAGTCAGACGGTATTGGATCAATCCCAGGAATCCACTTGCAGTTGTAGGACAAGTGCTGACTCCACATAAAGGCACAGTGACCTCCATATGCATTTTAGAATTAACCCCATTTAGTAATAAATAAATAAATCACACAGAACACAAATGATAATACTCTAGTAATTTTATTATTGCTTTAATATGCCAAGGGGAGGTAAGTGAACATCCTTGTGACAATAACATTTGCATTTTCTTTTTCATTTTCATTTTATTGAAAATAGATTTTTTCATATAATATATCTTGATTATGGGGTTTCTTTGCTCCAATCCTCCAAGGTCCTCCATACTTCCCCACCAATCTAGATCCATTCCCTTTCTGTCTATTCTTAGTAAATAAATAGGATTCTAAGTTATAATAATAAAATATGATAAAATAAAATATACTAATAGAAAAAACTATCATATCAGACTTGGACAAGACAAAGAAACAGGAAGAAAACACCTTAAGAAAAGACACAAGAATCAGAGACCCACTTATTTGCACACTCAGGAATCCCACTGAAAATACTAAGTTGGAAGACATACCATACATGCACAGGAACACTTGCAGGTCATGTGCAGGTTTCTCTCCAGTCTCTGAGTTCATATGAGATTTGATCATGTTGAATAAGAGTAGAGGTTCTCAACCTGTGGCTCAGGACCCCTTTGTGATCAAATGACTTTCTTTTCTTGTATTGCTTTATCAGATATCCTGTATATAATATATTTAAATAACAATTTATAACAGAATCAAGTTACAGTTGTGAAGTAGCAACAAAAAATAATTTCATGGCTTGTGCTCACAACATGAGAAACATGTTGCAACATTAGGAAGATTGAAAACCACTGACTAAGATGGTCTTGCTAGCTTGGTGTCCTCCATCCTCTCTGGCTCTTACATTCTTTCTGCTTCCTCTTCTTCTGTGTTCACTGAGCTCTATGCGACGTGTAGGCATCTATTTAGAGTTTGGTGTTTAGGGACTCATCTGAACACAGGAGAATGTCATTTGATGTCATTGTATTGCTAATTTTATTTTTAAAGAACAGGAGTACTTTTTATCCCTAGGTTCCTGAGATATCTTGTCTCTGCTTCTTCATCACCCAAGCAGTGTTGGGCATGTGTCCCATCCTATGCAATGGGCCTTAAGTCAAACCACAAATTGGTTGATTACTTTCACAAACTTGTTTTGCAAAAGCCCTAGCATAGCTTGTAGTCATGACACCAACATATTAGTAGTGTTTAGGCTGGGCTGGTGTTTATTTTGGTAGTGTGAAGAGTACCTTTGTGTACCTAAGATGCTAGCACATAGGAGTGAAGGCTCTATGTAGGCTCCAGATCAACTCCTCCATGTTCAATGTGTTGTGTTTTCTTTAGCAGAAGGACTTTGTCATTATTTTGTGAAGAGCATATATATTATTGGCAATGTTTGGGGTTGTTTGGATTTCCATTGGAACCCTTTGGCCAACATATTAATTAGATGTAGCCCATTATCAGTGCTGGAACCTTCTTTTGATAGCAAGAATTATTCTGTTAGAACTCTGTCTCCTCCATGTTTACACAATCTAATGTAGATCATTTTCATATTTGTACATATTTTAGCAAGTTTTTAATGTATCAGGTTTCACTACCCTTCATATGGCACTTAATTTTAGCTGTCTCTCCCCAAATTTCATCCCTTATTCTGCATTCCATCCCCACTCCACTTGATAGTCCTGTTCTAGCCACTCATTTATCCATAACTATCTATTCTCTCTCCTTTACCACCAACAAGATGTGCCTGTATCCCTAGTCACTTAGACTATAATTAATCTCTCAATCCATGAATTGTATTTTTACAGCCAATATCAATAATAAGCAAAGATGTGCAATATTTTCTTTCTGTGTCTGGGTTAGTTCATTCAGAATATTTATTTTGCAGTTATATCCAATTACTTGTAAATTTTGTGATACTCCAAATTTTAATGGCCAAGTATAAATGTATCACATTTTCTTTATCAGTTTGTCTTTTGAAGAACATCTATGTTGTTTTCTAATGCAAGCTATGATGAATAAAGCAGCAATGAACATATCTGAACCAAGATCTCTTTGGAAGGATATAATGTCCTTATACATGTAATATAGCTGTGTCTTTATGTATATTTATTCACATCTTCCTGAAGAAAGAACACTCTGAATTCCACAGTGGCTGTTCAAATTTGCACTCCAACAACAACAGATGAGTGTGTTCTTGAATTTACTTCCACACCAGCATGAGTTGATATTTGTTTTCTTGATCTTAGTCATTCTGACATTTGTAAGATGAAATTTAATAGTAATTCTGATTTCCAATTTCTAATTGTTAAGTATTTTGAATAGTTATTTAAATGGTTTCA